ATCATGTTCTTCTTCCAATGCAACATGGACATTATTTTTGTTGATCTGTCTGGTTGGGTTTTTGAAAGCCATCGCTTCCTGCATTCCACAACAGAAACTTTACACCCTCAAAACCTGGTACCATTTTGTTTTATTCTTCCTGTCTTTATTCTATTTATTTATCCAGCCAGCCAATGTGAAAGGCTGTAAATCGCAGTGCTACTTAAGTCACAGGGGGAATTCCTTTAAACATAAGTAAAAACTCATAAATAACTTCCTGCAGTCGACAATGCATTCATTTTCTTCTCTGCTTTCCGACTAATCTTCCAGCTAACAAATCAAATCAAGTACCCAAATGTAATTATTCTGTTGTGATAATCATCTTCTTAAACTCAGAGTTTACCTTGGCTTATTTCTTCTCAAATTAAAATTAGCAGAGAGGCTTGGGACAGTGGGGGGGGAGAGGAGGAAAGGCTATGAGGGATTGATAAAGCCAAGGTACGACAAGGAAACTCTTCAACTCAACCAGAGTCCTGCATCTTGAGCAGAAGATTTGCTTTTTTGTGCTAGGTTGGTGAAAAAAAGCGATGCCAAACCCGATTTAGACTCACTTTTTATTAGTATGACTCATAGTACAGTTTTCAAGGCAATGAAGTGCATGATATAAAAAAAATAGATGATTTTAAAACCGGGACAATTCTCCCAAACTTGCTGGAAGCAATGCAGCTACAAATAGAGCCAGGAATTAATCTGTGACAAAGTCAGTAAAAAGGCAAGAAACGCTTTGCAAAACACACCCACACAGGACAATGTGGGGCGAGCATCTAATTTACCCTCCACAGAATTTGCAATTTGTCCTGCAACTAGCCCTCAACACTTCCAAACCTCATCACTTCCAAACTCCTCCTGCCTGCTGTGGGCAGGGACAGAGCCCAGTGATCTTTCCCACCAGTGTGGGCACATCAGGGATGAGTGAGGTAAAATCCCTGGAGGAATAATCCCACCCACAGACACGGACTCGCTGTGTTACACCGCTTTACACCATCAGATTGTGAAGTGATGGCCAGCACCAACAGCAGGGCCAGGAGCATGAGGCTAAAAATAAACCAAGGGAAATAAACTTGCCACAGCTTCCAGACTCCTGAGGATCCAAAGGCACAGGGCTGGAGGGGAGGAACAACAGCCCTGCGGTTGTCAGTGTGTATCCAGCACTTGGTGCTGGTAGCACAGCAAAGGGACGGTGTGGGAGGGGAAAGGTAAGAGATCCACCACTGGCACTGGAGAGCAGGACTGGAAACGCAGTGGAGAGTGGGAATGGAACCAGAGCAGGTGAGTGGTCGCCTGCCCAAGAGCGTTGTTACTCTCCTGAGAAAGGCAGAAGCTGGCACAATCCACATAGGAATGTGATGCTGCAAAGCCAGGGTCCAGGGGAAGAGAGATGGAGGGCAGCTGGGAACCCCACTCTACACCACCCTGATTTTTTTTTTTATTTCACTGCCTTATTCAGTCACCTTCAAACAAAACTCTCTTGACAAGTTTTTCCACGCAAACACCTTCTATAAAGCCTTTGAAAGCGTGCAGATTTGTAACACTGGAAAAACAAATCATGCCAGGCACACTCAGATATTCCCATTTAGAACATGAGTGCTTTGGATGACACACAGTTTATTCCAAAGGCTGCAGGTGTGTTAGTCCAGGGTGTCCAGGGGAGCTCCACTCACATAGCTCTGACAGTGCCATCCCTTGCCAGCCCTGTGTCTCACCAATGCAGCCACACAACAACAACAACAAAAAAAAAACCACCTGGTGAGCCTGGATTCCTTCTTCATCTGACCTATGGGACTGTTTGTGTATTAGAGAGTTCAGGAAAGGACGGTAGGGCCACTTGGAAAGTGAGGTGTTTTTTAATTAGCTCACTTGGGAAAGATGTACATCACAGGAGACAACGCTCTGGCCAGCTAAACCCCTCAAATAAAATGGAATTATTATGCTGAAAACACTGATGTATCTTTCAGTGAGGACCACCATTAAATTGCTGACAAATTATTCCCCTACACAGCACACATGTTAGAACTTGAGGAAACATTTCCAAGCCCAGGTTGCAGCTATGTGTTGGTGCAGGAGGGAGAACAGCCAGATCCCAGAGCCAGACATATCCCATGGCTAACAGCGAGGGAGGGATGGTCACCAGGCCACTAGCCACAACATGAGAAGTCTTCTGCAGCACTTCCCTCCCAGTAGACCTTATCCTGAGTTTTCTGAGTTTTTTCACTGCAATATATTTGACACATTTCAAGTGACATATTGTTAATTCTGTATGACAGAAAGTGATTTTTAAAGTAACGTTGTGAGTTCCAGATGAAAACTTACATTTAGTGATTTAGAAGAAAAAAGTAGAAGAGGTCTTACACGAGCAGAGGCTCCCAAGAGCTGACAGGGAGCAATAGCCACAGGGCTCTCCTTGCCCCCTTTCAGACACGCAGCACGGAATCACAGAATGGTTTAGGTTGGAAGGGACTCTAAAGATCACCCAGTTCCAACTCCTTTCTCGAGAGATCTAGAGCAGGTACACAAATCCTGCCCCATCCCTGGAAGTGTCCAAGGCCAGGTTGGACAGGGCTTGGAGCAACCTGGGCTAGTGGAAGGTGTCCCTGCCCATGGCAGGGGGTTGGAACAGAATGATCTTTAAGGTCCCTTCCAACCCAAACCATTCCATGGTTCTATGATGTTATGGAGCTGAGGCAACTCCACAGTAGCCACGAGCTCTGGGGCAGTCACCCCGGACTTTGGGGTGCAGGGATTCAAACGCCCAGCTGGCACCCACACCTTGTCCTACTGTGGGGCACCAGGACTGGGTAGGAGCTCAAAAGGACTGGGGATGGAGAGCAGGACTCCTGAGCACCTCAGCTTCATGTGGCACACAGCTATCCCAGGAAGCAATGTCTTTTTTTTATGCCTTTTTTTTTTTTCTCCTATCTGCTATCTTCCAGTCCAAAAAAAGCTACAGGACACAGAGAGTGGTTATGCACGTGGCAACCTGAACACAGCAGGAAATTTTAAAATTTCAGCTGCATATACAAAACCCTCTAACACATGTATATTTTATTTGATTTATTGCAAATACTTTTCTTCCATCTCTTGAAAGTAATTTTTCTCTAAAGCGTAACTGCTTAATTGGCAAGTGTACAAAATATAATTACACTGCATACAAGTTACAATATTGCTTATGGGAATATCACTGTTGATGCATTCTGCTTTATTTTGTGTTTAATCTCTATTAAGAGATCTGTATGAAAATAGCAAGGTACTCTTGATCTTATAAACATGACATGTGGTTCAGTCATTTTCTGCCTTACCAGAGCCCAAACAAATGCAACTGAAAGACAAAATTCCTAGGCTGGCCTAACATGTCCAAGTTCATGAAATTCTTACATTCTCCTCTAAAGGAAGTGCAGTCCACAGGACATTTAACAAGGAAATATCCTAACTCTCCAGGCCAGGGTTTGTTACATCCATTACACCACCAGAGCGATGGAAGGACAACACACACAGGAATACACAGCTCCGAATGACAACTTTAGGAGGGGTTACTACATTCCCTACAAGGACCTTTGCAATCCCATCTTTTATAGTGGAAGGATACAGAAGTAACACAGAAATGTGGATGACTGGTGCCAGGATCCTGAGCAGTGCCCAGCACCTGGCAGCAAAAAACTCATCCTTAGTGCCCCTGGCTCTGCCAGCCAGACCAACGCAATTCCCAAATGGCATAAAGCTGTGTCAGGGCAGGTTTAGACTGGATCTCAGGAAAAGGTTCTTTCCCCAGAGGGTGGCTGGGCACTGAACAGGCTCCCCAGGGCAGTGGGCACAGCACCAAGGCTGCCAGAGCTCAGGGAGTGTTTGGACAACACTCTCAGGGACAGGGTGGGATTGTCAGGGTGTCTGCAGGGCCAGGAGTTGGACTGGATTATCCTTGTGGGTCCCTCCCAACTCAGAGGCAGTTGTGGGTCCCTTCCACTAGCCCCAAATTGGCTCCCCCTCCTGCAAGCACTTGCACAGGTGAGTAACATTACACACAGGAGTAGCTGTGCTGTGTGGAAATGGGTCTCCTTGGTCTGAGAGTTCACCACCACGGGCAGGGTTTAAGTGCCTTAAAGGTTTATTTCACTTGCTTGAGTAATGAGATTAATGCAATGTTTGTTTGTTTAAGCTAAATCATACAAAGCCAAACACCTAAATGTCCTTAATTCACAGCATTAGCCCAAGCTGTGTTACCACACCAGTCCATCTTACTATCCTTTTTTTCCCCCCACTTTTAATTGCACCAACAAATTCCTAGTTTGCTACAATTTCTCTCCCAGAGATCAGACAGCACACGGAGACCCCGAGTAGCCAAATAAATCACTAAACATCATTAGTTTGATGTTTTCACATATTCCTTGTTTTCTTTACAACTGGGTTTTTAACATATTCGACTTCTAGTCTGGAAAACCCAGAAGATACAGACCTCTGTATATATATATATTTACATTTATATATGTATAGCTCTGTGTACAGATATAGAGGTAGATATATACTCTATAGGTGTATGTAGGTACAGATGTACACTGTATATACAGAAAGGGGATCTGAAACAACCTCCCTGCCATAACAGCTCCATAATCAAGCACTACGTGGAGCCCAGTGATCCCACAAACCTCCTCCATGAACGATGGATGACACGGACAGACCCATCTGCAAACTCACCTAAAAGCAGAGTAAATCTTCAAACACCCAACTGCACGTTCTTACTTCAAAAATAAACGTGCACACAAACAAAATCACTACACCAGCAATGTACAATTGATGTTTAAATCTGGATTTGACCTGGTTTGATCAGTTTTCACTCTTCTGCTCTCAAGTTTCCCACCAGGGTCAGAGCTATTTCTGATGTTCTGTGGCCACCAAGAGCTGGCTTGGAGTTTGAATAAATTCTGCATGATCAGATAAAGCACACAACTATCAAAAAAAGTAATCCTCCCTCATTTCCTTCCTGCACCTAAATTAACTCACACCTGACCCAGGCATTAGACACAATATAGACTAACATGTCCCTTGCGAACTTCTCACCCTGTGCCAAGTACCTGGTGTTGACACTGGAAGTAACTCATCCCTGTGACAGACACAAGGCATTTTTTAGGGAAATGGTGGGGAAATGAAGAACCTACAGGAGCTTTCCTGAGTGCTCAAGGTCCCATCCTGTAACCTCCACCTTCAGACACAGGTCTCCTCTCTGCAGGTCATCTTCCTGAAGAAAAGCTGTCATGTTGGTGCTTGGGATCTGCAAATACCTGGATGTTCTCATTTAAATGGTAGGTTTTCACAGATTTTGAGGTCAGAAGAGACCACTGTGATTTTTTAGCCTGACACACTGCACAGTAATTTACCTAAATTAATCACTGCTTGAGCCTCTTTCACTCCAATGAACAAACACCCCTGAACTCAGCATTTCCAAAGGTCGAGAAATCACCAGCACCTTCAGCAGCTTCTTCCACCATCAACAGTGCTGAAACCACAGACCTTCACCCTGTTCTTTCCCTGGTTTCACCTTCCAGCTTTCAGGTCTTGTTAAAACTCTGCCTGCCAGACCTGAGAGCTCTTTATTATTCAATTTATTTTCCCCATGATAACACTAATTCCCTTAATCAATTTACCTTCCAACACTCTCCCGGATAAGTCAAGCAGATGGAGGTCCTGGACCCTTCTCGTGCATCCCTTCCCGACTCCTTCTGCGTTCCCGCAGCCCTCCACAGCCCCTCCTTGCCAGGTAGCAGGGGCAGGGTGGCTGCCACGTCCCTGCTCCAGCCTGGCAGCCACCTGCCAGCGCAGACAAGGAGCACACAAGACCTTTGCCCATAATATCATATTAGCGGCGCTGGCTCGTGACTCCCCGCTCCTCCATAAAGACATGATTTCTCCAGACAGCATCCTGGAGCTATGGCCCCTGTTGTTTGCTCTCAGATAGAGAAATTTACAGTTGGCCATCTGAGAAATATTACCTGCTTGTATCCAGGCAATACAAATTGCTTTCACCAGCGGTCACTCCCGTTCGTTATTTACCACTCTCCCAATCTTTGTGACATTTCAAGCTTCAGCTGCAGTGACTCTTTGCCTTATCACGGCTTGCTCACACATTAAGCGGCGTAAGGACAAAAAGGAGTGTTCAGAGAGGCTGCTAGAAGGGGATGTTCGGGAATTATTCCTGATTTTACCAGAGGATTTTGAGAGCTGACGCTCTGCTGGGTCTCAGCCATTTGTTCTTTTGCACATCCCCAGCCAAAACAGTGGTGCTGTAACCAAGCTGCATTTATTGACCAATTGTAAGGAAATAAACCCCCCCAGTCACCTTTATCAATCCAATCGATGAGGGATTCCTGGAAACACAAAAGTTAGTTCTCAAGGATGTGCTGCCCTTAAATCCAAGCCACTGGAGACCAAGTGCCTCACCATCCTGCCTCCAACCTTAAATAAATCCCTAGCAGTGACTCGGAGCGTCTGTCCAGGACTCATGTTGAGCTGACAGGTTTGTGGTACTCAGCCTGGCCCATTTACTGCTTTTCTAGAATAGTACAAGATAAGCATTGCCACGGTTCACCGGAACTCTCCAGTACTTCAAGACTTAGTAAAAATACACATTACTGGCTCAGTTTACTCTCTAAACCTTTTTTGATGAGAGACACTGGGGTTGGTCCACAAAGTTTTGACTAGAGAACATTTACTTGTACCACAGTCTTAACAGGGACTAAGCACATCATTCCCCCCCCCCCCCCAAAAAAGTGTAATATTTTTGATGTTCTGTTAACCTCATCTAACAACCTAGTTTGATTTCTAGTATTTTGCAGAATGGTTTGTTGTCCTCATCACTAGCAGCCACAGCTTCTCTCTGCACCCCTTTCCCTAAGCTCTGATGCCTCTTCTTTGCTATTGATTCTGCTCTCAGGCACATGGATGTGCAGACATCGACCATATCATAAGGGCTGAGCACCCCAATTCAGCATCCAGCACCTTGAACAACCCAGAGCCCAGGCTGGAAGGGCGATGGCTGAAGGTGGAACAGACAAGCAGAGACACTTGGCCAGATTCTCCCTCCTGACACATCATTCAACGGAAACTTTTTCAGAAACAACCACAACAAAAATCAGTGGCTGAAACCTCACTGCCTGTGGCTGGACCACGGTGAGATTTCATACCCCAAGCAAGGCTGGAACCAGTATTTAGTGAAGTTGGGTCACCTCCAAGAAAGCACAGATCCAAGAATTATGTTGAACTTCCGGCTAGACAAAACTAAAGTTGCACTTTTTCTCCCCAAATCTATCTAAGCTGATTCTAACTCACAACTTTTGCTGTCCAGATACACAGATATAGATATACAGATGGGAAAAATACGTCATTCTGGTGCTTCACCTAGGAATGATATCACAGCAGATAAAACAATCCTGCTTCCTTCTGGGAACAGAAAATAGGTAGAATAGGTATTTTATCTGAGAAACACTGCTGTTACTAGCAAAGGGCAAAGCTGAAGTTAGCACAGGTATTCCAGTACTAAACTTTGAGGCACCCTAATTCCAGGCTCAAATGTTGCATCGTACCATTTTTTGTATTAAAAGAGGGACCAGCTCAGACCAGTGGCAAATATAAAATCTACACAAACTTGTGCTGTGGAATCATGAAACGTCAGACAACCGAAATCATGAAAGCTGATGAAAAGGGGTTTTTTTTTTCCATACTGAAACTGATTTCATCTACAATTAATTACAGCAAAACTCAAGTCTCTCAACTTCTAAGTGTAAAATCTAGTATTTAGCCTTATTGCTTTGCTTAATTTACTGATTCCTTGCAACATCCCTTCTCATGGAAAACCTGGTTTTCAGCTTAAAATTAAAAAAAGTGAACTCTTTATGGCAGTTCTACAGGTATTAATACAATCTCTTACATTTGGCCTCACGGATTTTTAAAAGGCAATTTATTTGCAGGGTTTTCCCCTCCAGCTAACACAAACAAAGGACACTCTCCACACAGATATATCATGGTAAAACTAAAGGATACTCTGACAAAACCAGAGAGAGTTGACAAGGAAAGCCAAGATGCAGCTACTCTAAGAAGACTGAAGGTGGCCAATTTTTAATTAAAAACTTTATCTAGAATGTAAACTACAAGCTCCTGATGCCCAAAGTGCTCCTTGTGCATTACCCATAGAGGAATACGTAGTCAGAGACCCCACACTGTGGAGAAGCCTCAGCCAGGAGTGTCCATGCAGGTAAACACACATGCTTGGGATGCTGGAAAAGATGCTGGAAAGCTGGGAGCCATCCTGGATGACAGTGCTGTCTGTGGCAGGCACCAACAGGGCCAAAAGGGAATTGTTTAGTGAGAAGGGAACAAACAGGTCATGGCAGCTTCCCCTAAATATTAACAGAAATACCCATAACTGCAGGCTGAGGACCTGCAGAGCTCATTACACCTATCGCAGCAGCTTCACCCAAATGTAAACAGGAATATCCATCACTGCAGGAGGACTTGCAGAGCTCATCACACGCCATGGTGTGACACCCACCATCTGCACAGGACCCAGCTATGGGATTCATTGCTGGGTTTGCTTATTTTCTACCCCAACAATGATGTACCAGCTCCACTCCTCTGTCAGCCTCTTTTGGGGCTGATTCTGCAGTCCTCATACACCTGTCACTGTTCCCAAAGCCCATCAGCATTTCAAAGGGGCTCATCCACACTCCCACCCATGGTTGCTCATACCTTGCAGAGCCACACATTATAGTTATTACAGTAACAACCAAAAGCCAGGCTGATTTTGGAATATCCCACAATTTTGTGCCAACTTCCTCAGCACAAAAGCTCCTCTTTTCCCAAAGTGAATGGGTCACTAAAAAAAAAAGAAAAAAAAAAGAAAAAAGAAAGATAAGCAGCATCCATTACATATCTGTTATACTTAGCAACAGAGAACCCATCTGCATTACTCCTGGTCTCATTAAAGACTTGGCTCCTTGTAAATATTATGTCTGTAATCCACACATTCTCCCTCTACGCTGTGCTTCAGGGGTCTATTTCAGAAATAATTGGTATATGCTGCTGCAAGGAAACAGTGGCTGAGCGTTTGACAACATCGCACAAGTTTATGTACATGGAGCAACCGCAGCTGACCTGGTGTGAACATCAGCTCAGCGAGGTTCCTACCAGCACCTCCTCACAAAACTCACAGCCAAGGTACCCTGCACTCTACACCTGTGCCCAAAGAAGGGTGTGAATGGTCAGCCTTGAGCTGGCCACCACTGTGGCTAAAATCCTTCCTAATCTCACACTGCTCTGACTGCTGGTGGGATCAGAGAGAGGACTTGAGCAAAGCAGAGCCCAAAATCCAACAATCAAGCAAGTTGTTTTTAGCCATATAAAATCTACTTTCCATCAGGAGGGATGGACAAGAGCCCAGTACTTCAGCAGGACCACTGTTTTTTACTGGCTTAAAGGATACATGAAATTACTGCCAGGTAAGGGTGGAGGAGCAAGTCATTAATAATTAAAGTCTACAACTGATGTGTTCAAGTAACTTGGGTTTTATTTGCATTTAACAGTAAAGGCCCAGAACAGATGGGACTTTATAGATGCCTATCAAGATGCCTACTTTGATCCACCCAGAATACCATGTATTTGGAAAACAAGGCTGAATTATCCAAAATAACCCTGTAACCCTTGAGCACACAGCTCCCAGCTGTGGAGCAGGGGGGCCCTGAAAGGTGATGATCTTCTAGGTGCTGTCCTCCTTTGGCAAAATCGTAAGAATTGAGCATCCAGAACCCCCAGAGCATGCTCTGCTCCCTGACTGGGATTTCAGGATGGGCTAAAAACCCCAAGAAAACCTCCAAAGTTGGCAACACCACCACACAGCAGCACTGAGGAGTTCCAGGAGGGGTTGATGGGTCTATTGAAGTTGATGCCAACAATGCTGAAACCCCTCCACAGCTGCTGCAGGGGTTTGATGGCAGCTTCATGTCTACCTTGCAGGAGATACACACGTTTCCCCACCAGCCAACACGTATGGGGAAACGCCAAAACCACACCACCGATGGGAATGGAGGCAGTGACATGTGCATCACTGCAGGGCATCCTCTGCAGCACCACAGCTTGGATGTCTGGGGTAAAACACTGCCCCTGCTCCTCACCACACTGCTCCTGACACAGGACACACGATTACAGACCCCAGATGAGCCAAAGCAAATTTCATCCCACCTGCACTGACCATCAGAGCATGCAGATGGAAATCTCTCCATCAGGCCACGCTGGTTCCATCACATGTTTTTCCAGGTGTATTTCTTTTTAATAATCCCACAGAAGTTCCCAATAATACAACCCAGGCATTAAAAAAATCACAGCATGTCCTGGGAAGTGTTCAAGGCCAGGCTGGGTGGGGCTTTGAGCCACCTAGTCTAGTTAGCAAGGTGTCGGTGCCCATAGCAGGGGGGTTGCAGTTGGATGAACTTTAAGGTCCTTTCCAACCCAAACCATTCCATAATTCTATGATGACTCTATGAAATCATTATAGAGCAAAAAAAACCCCTAAGCTTTGGCAGCAGGACCACTGTGACCTTCCCACACAGCACTGCCTCACCAGACCATGTACAACAAACCCAAACAACCAAAGCAAATGCCAACGTCCCACCAACATTATCACCTTAGAGAGGAGAAACAAAAACTAATTAAAAATCTCCAGACGTTTACTCCTGGTTCTTAAGAAATCACCAGGGTTCACAGTACAAGAAACAGGAGTACACACTTATAAAGCATCACTGTAGAACTAAATAAATAACAACTGATTTTTCTGTGCTCTGTCACCAAAACTCCTGCTGAGTTCACACAATATTTTATGTGGTAACTCCTTAGCAAAATTCCAAGGATACCAATCTCTTCACCATGATGGAGCTGAACAGAAGGACAAGACACGTGGCATAATGAGAAGATTTTGTTTCCATGCCCTTGCTGGGGCAAAGAACAGTCATGGTATTTTTCATCCTTTTACCTAAATCTTATTTGCTTTGGCAAAGGAGAAGGAGCAAAAAAACCCAAAAAAACAAGCCACAGGAACATAGCAAAAGGAATAAGAGTTGGTCCAGGCAAACCTGAACACAATAAACTGCATTTTGGAATTACATCTTCCTACCTGGGTGTGATGAACCGTGCTTTGGAACTACATCTTCCAGCATCACAAACAGCACTAGAGGAAACACCAATCAATTCCTGGCTAAAACAATTGTTTTATCCCAGCAACCAGAGAGAAAACAGCGAGCACTTGCTAAAACTTCCCCTTCAAAGTTTGAGTGCTCCCTGCAAGAGGGGATCAACAATCACCTCGCACCACCCACACACGGTCTTTTAATTCACCTGTGAGCCCTGATGTCATTTCTCCTGTCAGAGCCTATAACTGGAATATCCTTAACAGCTGGGGTAGGGGGGCTGAAAAACCCCCAACCTCTGGGGCAGGTGTAAGCAATCAGCCCAGATTTAAGAGCTGCTCACCAGCAGCTCCACTCTCTACTTCTTTAACTTACTACACCGAGAATATAGAGCAAAGGCAGGAATACTCACACTAGATCTGATGTGAGGAGTAAATGTGACACCCATCAGGTTTTATGAGACAGCATCATCCACCAGATCTTAACAAAACACTTGCAAATTGCCAGTGCTGTGTTCCGAGAAGGTTTTCCATTTCTTCCACTTAAACACGAAGCCACTTTCAATTCCCATAGCTAGTAAACAGCCCCAAAAAAACCCAGGGAAAATTAACCTACCTTTTCCAAATGGTTGGGCAAACCCAGATTCAGGGTGTTTTTTCATTAGGGTATTTCATTCTTGCCAGAGTCAGCTGAACTGAAGAAGTTTTATTTGAACTGCAGCCAGCCCGATGGATAAATCAACTTTCCCGGCCAAAGGCTTCAGTACACCACTTCCAGCTCGTGCCTGGGACCTCATACTTTGAGGGTGATGTTTTTCCTGATAGAAGAAATATTCCCACCAGACTCCAGTGACAAATCTCTGCACTGAAATGTTGGCGTTAAAGAAGACAGGCTCTGCTACAGTTCTTGCTATGAGGACATTCCTTTGAATCTAGGAAAAGCAGGAGTGGAAAAGGGCACAACTTTGCCCTTGGAAAAGCAGGGGGGATGAGAGGGAGCTGTCAGCAAAGCAGGCTGTGGGGCAGCAGCTCTGCGGGGCGTCTGGAGCTGCCCTGCCAGCCCAGCCCCGGGATCCCACATGGGCTGGCGAGGAGAAAACTACCTTAAAAAGAGGGAAAGCTGATGTCAAG